TCGCAGGAAACGAAGCCGCAGATAAGTTAACCAAAGAAGCAACTGGAAAACCAAATATCGACTCACAACCTACGACCTCAAAAAAAGTATCCACAAAAACCTTAGACAAAAATGGGAAATCCAATGGAAAGCTATCGACCCACTGACGAACAAACTACGATCAATTAGAGACACTACACTCTTCGATGGCGGTTACTATAAATTGACACGAAGAAAAGACCAGGTGGACATCACAAGGCTGAGAAATGGACATACCCGAGTTACCCACGGCCACCTAATGAGGAAAGAGCCACCAAAAATGTGTGAACAATGCCAAGCCCCCATATCAATAAATCACCTAATAACCGAGTGCAATGCTTTTGAAAACGAACGAAGGAATTGTAACATTACGAACGATCAGACGACCAACCTAACAACAAATACCATATAGCAAACATAATTAGATTTATCAAACTAACGAAACTAGAAATATAACATACTGTGTCAACATGTATCACACGGCGCTAATGACCACGTAGTTGAAGCGTCTTAATTTCAAATAAAAAATAAAAAACATGTTACTCTACATAGCGTTTATTCATTATTTGTACGGCGAAGTCCGATATAAATTTTGGGAAAAACCAAATACATTACATTCGTCCACCTTAAATTTATGACATAAACCTCTCAGGTAGTTTGATCTGTCTTCTCTCCCTACTTAGTGCTAATGGTACATTGTCAATATCACTATCACCTTTCACTAACTACATCATGTGGTACCTGGGTGGTTATAGATGGAGTCTCTGAATTTGACATAGGAATTGGTGGCAGGTTTAAATTTCAGCAGCTGATTACAATGACGTTTCCAAATTTTATCAATTGTAGGAACTCTACCTATACAAGTACAATTAACACGGCGCTTTAAAACTAATCCCTGAAGTGTCCCGTAGAATCCATAATTTTAAACAGTTTGAAGATTGGGCCACTAGATCAAAAGTTACAGCCCTTTGAATTTCCTTTCGAAATTGGTTTTGTCCATAACTTTTGATTGAGAGGTCTAATCGAAAAAGTACGAGTCGATTTGGACTCTACGCACCAAAATTAATAAGAAAAAGTGTTTTCCCGAGAAATTTTGGAGTGGTAGATTTTTGGTAAAAAGGAAAGTTATACACTGCCTTTTTTTGAGGCTTGAAGAAAAAATTGTCTGAGATCGACCGGGAAAAAACATTTTCTTATAGAATTTGGCCCGTAGAATCCATAATTTCAAACAGTTTGAAGATTGGGCACCTAGATCAAAAGTTACAGCCCCTTGAATTTTTTCTCAAAATTCACTCGAACAGTGGCAATAATAACCTAAACAGGCGAATTTATAAAATCTCCAATATACCTATCATTAAATATACATAGATAGTAAAGTAATTGAAGTTGTGAGACTGTATTTCACGAATAGTTTGTTCAGCACGAGAAAACATAAAAAGGATTCCTAAAATGTTTGGCTCTACCAAAGAATTGCCATCACCACAAAATTCGTTCTTTTTATCGCCTATAACAATTGTATAACATAATGTAACGTGATTTATAAATTCGGGTTCGATTTATATCAATATTTATTAAACAAAACTAAAACACTATAAAATCCGTACAATTTATATCGATTATTTATATCACACACTTCGAAATTTATATCAGCTTTTCGCGCTCTATGTTTCGTTCGCACTCGATCTCGTTCGATAGTAGACTAACTGCCGCGATGTTCGGTCCGCAACCATTTATACACGCAAGCAATGTAAGTCTAGTACATTCTCGAATAATCGCGCCAAAGGCGACGTCATGTCTGGAGCATTTCCGTTACAATAATAATAATTAATCTAAATAAGACAAACGCGTATGGGTGCGATAACATCACTATTACAATCTACAAAGAAGTATTTGATCTTATACAGAAACCGCTAATTTTGTTAATGACCCTCCCGGTCCAGATAGGATTTTGATGCGGGTTTTAAAATATAGAAGAACATCTGAAGTACTGGCTAAAATTACATCTTTTATATCTAATATCGGTTGTGTTCCCGAGACCGAGTGTTTTCATGGTGATCCTTCGAAATCACAAACTGGTGACCAATAACTATAATCTCTCTGGAAGATGTCAACAACTAGAAATTAAATTTAAAACCGGTTCCACTATTGCAAAATTTTTATCCACAGCTTTGTATGTTAATATGGGGGTTCCACAAGGATCTGTTTTAGGACCTATTATATTTTTATTATTTATTAATGATATTGTCATGTTCTTAAATTGCTTGGTTTTAAATGCGGATGATACGACGGCATTAATATCCGGAAAGAAGCAAGAAAATATATATCCAAAAGCTATTGAGATTCTAAATAAGCTAAGTAATTGGTTTAATTTTAACAAATTATTCTTAAATCACGATAAAACATATTTCCTACCGTTTACAACTTTTGGAAATAACCATTTGTCTGACTCAAGTAACAAAAACATTAATATTCTAGGCACTGGGAAGTTTCTGGGGATCTATTTAGATCAAAACTTAAATTGGAAATGTCACTGCGAAAATCTTATTAAAGGACTAAACACTTATTGCTACCAGATACGGAATCTTAAAGAATTAATGGATGTGAACCATACTTTAAATTATTACTATTTACTATGCTCAAATTCAATCCAGATTGTCGTATGGAATAATTGTTTGGGGCTCGTCAAGCGCGGCAAAAAATGTTTTTTGGTACAAAAACGAATAGTCAGATGTATTGCGGGTACTAAGAAATATGATTCGTGTCGCCCGATATTTAAAAAATTGAATATTCTTACACTTTCATCACTCTATATACCTACTTGAATTGTTAACTTTTATTTTCCATAATCAGCAACATTTCTTACGCCATAGCAGTTTTCATAATTACAACACGCGCAATAAACAACAATTTATCACCCCTTTCACAAGGCTTAAACTTGCCCATAATTCTCCCACGTCAATGGGCATTAAATTATTTAATGCTCTTCCAAGTACACTTAGAAGTCAGGGAACAATAAAGTGCTTTAAAACTTCATTAAAAAAATTTCTTCTAGTCAATGCAGCATATACAATTGATGAATTTCTAAATTGTATTAATAAAAATTGCGGATCTCTAGTGTAATTTATATTGCATTCTTTCTTTTTTGTCCATTGTATTGTGTATGACCAACATTTTTTAAATTGTATTTAATTATATTTTTTTGTGTCTGACGTATGCTATACAATTCAAAATTTGTCTTGGGAATTAATATATATTATTATTATTATTATTATTGTGAATTTGTTTCGGGGGTATCGAGGGGGAAACAGAATGACGTTATAAGTGACAACCCCCCACTCCCTTAACCCCCCAGCCCCCCCCCCCCTTTCAAAAATCCTAAATGGCAACCCCATACTTGTGACACATCGTTGGAAAGCTACTGAAAAATGCTTTCCAGTGGACTAATAAAGTCGTTAAAGACAATTTAACAAAAAATTAATAAATAACAAAATAGCCATGACTTTTGTTGTTTTATGAATTGTTACTTAATAACAGAGATGTTGAAATTTATTTTTAAATTTGCGAGTAGCCCAAAAGGTTAGTAAAACATGTAAAAACAGTTTTGTATGCTCCTTTTAATTCTGAACAACTTTAAACTCTTACAGTTTTTTCTGTAAAATATACAGGAGGGCAGGATATTGCATAAAACTAATTTCCCATGTTAAATCCCTATGTTCCTACTTACCGTGCACCATCCGGTATAAAAATAACGTGTCTATACAGGTCTCACAGATAATAACATTAATAGTGTTGTAATTGCCACTTTACTAAGGCATATGTGATTAAAAACCAAGATAATGAAAAATTGCATCAAAATTCAAAACAACCCAGTCTAGGAATGTAAAAACGACCCCTCATGCGTTTGAAAAATGCAGAAAACAAATACCTACCAAACGCGACAAGTCTACAAATGGATCTTTAGAATTTCAAGTATATATAGTTTATCTCACACAGTTTAAATCGAAAGACATTCCTTACCCACGTATCCCCTTTTTATCATTGTTATCATATTTGTATATTTGCGTGACATATATTATTTATATGTTATGTAAATTGTTTATGTACATATTTGACAATGTCAGTACCTACCTTTATAGGTCTTATGGCAATACATAATAATTAATAATAGTGTTTTCTCGTCTAACCTTCAATCGTATTATTTAGGATTCACAATAATAATTATTCCCAATACCTATAATCGACATCGAGTGTTTTATAAAACCAGAAAAACAATCAACGTCTGCAACCTCATCCTATAATTTATTTCTTTTTTCTGAGGTAATTATAAACCTTAATTACAACCTTCACTTCCTTCTCGTTTGCAATTATAGATCGAAAATGCGCTATCATTATTCGCACTATAATAGTAATAGTAGATTACATACCGAGCTGGGAAGTGGTTCATTAGCATTATCTACGCCGAGGGCTTAAGGGCTATAAGGTATAAGCGCGAGACGTTGGCTATGAACCACGGATCATCGAGGTTTGTATGCTATTTTATTCACAATCTGACTTAAAGAGGTAATATAACAAATTCCATCAGTTTTAGCGTAACATTGAAATCGAGTCGGCATTGGCTTCCAAGTCGGGAAGTACTTTGCCGACCGTGACGAGGTTGGCAAAAGATGCCAAACAATTGCTCACTTCCAAACTTTAAAACAGTTGGAAATTGACATATTACATATAACTCTCGCCAGGAAAGATTACCGGTCACAGAACACTTGATCCCGATCTACAAACTATGTCTTTCCAGCGACTTCCGGAATAGGATCGTGCCAATGTTGAACGAAAAGTCTTTTTGTTCAAATATTGACACGATATACTATCCAGGAAGTCGCTCACATCTTTAGAAAAACATTGATTGTAGATCGGGATCAGGTGTTCTGTGACCGGCAATCTTTCCTGGCGAGCGGTTTATATGATTGTGAATAAAAAATAGTGAGTAATTTTTAATTCCGATTTCTTTATTTTCACTATGTAATTTTTCTAACATCTAACCATATGGGCTGCTCTGTGGTTAGAATGAAGCTGAATTTGTCCCACTTGAACGGTGTTTGTGTCCTGGAACTGACCGAGAACGAATAGTTCCTTAGCAAGCACGCCAATCCAACTTTCGTTTGCATCATACCAAATCGCATACCTAAACAATTTCACATTAAAGATCGGCGTGCTTAAGGAAATTGGACCTACCAATGCAAAGGCGGGGACCTTCTCCGAATGGAATGTACGTAAACGGCGCAATGCCGTGTTTGTTTTCGTCGGAGAACCTTTCTGGGTCGAATTTTTCTGGATCCTTGAAATATTCCGGATCTCTGTGTAAACCCAAAACTGATATTAGTACCATGGTTCCCTTCTCAATTTGAACATCCTGGTCTGGGACCACGTAGTCTTTGACACACTGCCTTGTTAGGAAGGCAACGGGGGGATACTTTCTCAACGTTTCTAGAAATAAATGCGGTTAGAGAGAATAAACGTGCGATACTCTGAATCGTACCATCGATCACTTGGTTCATGTATTTCATTTCCATGATTGCGTCGTAAGTGATTTTTCCGTTGTGACTTTTTAAAACTTGATTAATTTCGTCTCGCACTTTTTGTTGTAAATCCAAATTCGCCGCCAGTTCGTAAAGGCAAAAGGTCATAGTGGTCGAGGAAGTTTCGAAGCCAGCCAAAAAAAATACAAAGGCCTGCGCCGCGATTTCTTCGAGTGACAATGAGCTTTCGCTGGGTTTTTCGGGATGTTCAAGATCCATTACAATTTGCAGCATGTCTTTGCGGTGAATATTATTCGTGCGTCTGTAGTTAACTGTACTCTTCACAACGTCGAAGAAAAATGAAGTAGAATCCTTGGGGAGGAGAACCACTCCCAATTTTCTGGCCCATTCCGGTCTGGCCGCCGAAAACAAAATTTTTAACGTATCAATTTTATTCTTTGGCTCAAATATTTTGCGACCGTGATAACGAAACTCGGCATTGTCACTTTTAAAACTGTTACACTCCAACCCGAAGGCACAAGAACCTATAACATCCGTTGTGAAACGCGCCAACAGGTCTTTTATGTCAACGGGTAGTGTACTTGCACAAAAATCGTTCATAATTTCCTCCAACGGGCGAGTACATTCCACTAAAGTGTCAAACATCATTTTCATTTTTCCCGAAGTGAAGGTTGGAGTAAGTTTTGTACGCAAATTCCGCCATTTTTGACCGCCGATGGCAAACAAGTGCGCACTTAAGGGTTCGTCTTTTTCGTTGTAGTAAAATCCTCGGTCTACGAAATGGGCAAAGTCTCTTTGCATGATATTTTTTATAATTTCCGGATCGATCGGCACGTAATTAGGGCTGGTAATAATGTAAATACCGGCGTGTTTCTCACCACGTTTTTTAAATGATTGATAAAACTTCTGTAACCATTCACCAAAATAATATTTGCGAGTAAAGGGATTTTCTGCATTTCCGAATGGGAATTGGGGTACTGTGTATGGAACGTTCTTTTTCTTCCAATACGCGTACTTCCACCTTACGTATATTGTTAGAAGTAGTGCGAAGGCGAAGAATAAACCCAATTCAACGAACATTTTTTTAGTAAACTCAACCAGCAACAAGGAGTGCTTCGCGAATACTAAACAAGATAAACAAGCAATATTTCTTCCTCGAGGTCGATTGGTACACTATTAGCATAATTGGCTAATTGGGAATGCATATTACCGACGATTATTTTGGATAAAAACGACTGTCAAATTACACACCGTAAATATTAATAAGTGGTTTGAGTTTTTGATAATAACTATTTATGGAGATCTTAATTTGGTAAATGATGTAGCCTTGAACTATGATTTTTCAGCGCAATTATACATGTTTATAATGGGAGTTACAGCGGAAATTAAACTTTCTGGGAGAATGAACGTAACAAAGCTATTTTTACTACAAGTGAGCAAAGGCACTATTTAGCGTCGTTCCACTTTTATATTTGTTATTTAGTTAAAATAAAACGTTTGCGAAATGTCTAAACGTACCTACTTTGATTTTCTTACAATATTTTTCATAGCAACCGAATTAGGCACCAACAAATGTTGGTCACTAGAGATCAAACGACCGTTTTGTTAACAAAAAATAGAGAGCAAAGCATGCCATTAGGAATGGATTTAATTTTTATAGTTGGCGTACGTATCTGACCTAAACACGGCCATGGTGGTGTACAACATAAATTATGGCCACATTGTCAATAAACGCTATTGACAATGTGGCCATGTGGTAACGCACCCCACAAAAGTACACCATATTGTAAACGTGAATGAACTAAGGAAAAATAGCACAATCTGAGGGTGGCTACTGGCTATACAAAGTGATCGTTTTAAATTCCTTAAAATACATAGTTTAGATAACTTAGATAAAACTAAATCAATGTGATTGCTCCAAGTAACTTTTTCATCAATATTATGTATACCTAAAATTAAAGCCAGCCGGTTGCAACCTTATTGTTTGTGGACAGGGTAATTATGTGAGTTTTATCTTCATTTAGTTTTAGATTGTAATAAAATTAAGTCAGCATATGCAACAGAGTGATTAGGATATGTATATAACCGAAAGTCATTTATGTATATAATGAAAAGTAAAGGCCCTAATATAGAACCTTGAGGGACCCCCCATGCTTAGTATTAATTAACATACCGTCAATCAAAACACATTGTTTGCGATTATTAAGGTAAATTTGACATTAATGATCCCGCAAGTCCCCTAATCCCATATAATTGAAGCTTATCCACAATAATTTTAAACGAAACGCGATTAAAAGCTTTGGACTAAGCACAGAGTATTAATGAAGGATGTTGCCCGTTCTGCCAGGATTTTACCACTAGAGATATACGAGTAATTTGGCAAACAGCTTCTGTTGTAGAATGATTTTTTCGAAACCCACATTGACCACGATTTAATAATATTACGCTCTAGAGAGTTACATCTATCTTTTATTTAAAACAGTTTCAAAAAGTTTGGAAAACATCGGTACTATAGCAACTGGTCTGTTCTGTAGTTACCCATGCAATCCCACGCGATCTGGGACACACTGTATATATATACAGTACATGAGGGTGGTGACTTGCGTAACGCATCATAGGGATTTCAATGTAAAATTCATAACATGCGATTATTGGCTCCCCAAATTATTTTAGAGGAAAAATCTTTAAGGTTTTTTATAGAAAAAATTTTTTTACGCTAATCAACCGTATTAGGTTTCAATTTTTTTTATAATAAAGATGGAAATTTGGAAAAATAAAACCCGCATCGTTTTCAATAATCTGTGATGCCATGGAGTACAAAAACTACCCCAAAACCCGTCATGCCATGGAATGTCTGCTATAAAACAAATCAAATTCTATCAAATAGTATTATATTTAGAACGGCGAATTCAACATAAAGAGAGGCCAAATTTCATTTCATTTTACTTCATTTATTCGTTATCCTATAGTAGTTTGGCAACACCATGTCCCTAATACATACAAACAATATACTTAGCACAAATACTAAAAATTACAAAATGTATAACATATTAAAACAAACCGATATCTTAAAAAACACATTAAAATATCCCATGCTGAATTTCTAAAATTCTGACGAACACACAATAATTATTTTAAAAGGTTTCGAATGTTTAGGTATTCATTTCTACGCTTTTTCTACTAAAAATTGTTTTAATGCAAATCTAAATTTTTTGTAGGTTTTAATGGCCTTAATATTTGGCGGTAGGGCATTATAGTTATTAAGGTATCAAGGGCGTTATGAACTAAATAACGCCCCAGGTCAACAGTGTAGAACCCGAGGGCCTCCGGCCCGAGGGTTATACGTTGACCGTGGGCGTTGTGTTCATAACGCCCGTGGTGCCTTCAACGTTTTATGTCATACTTGATGATTTTCCAAGAATTAGCGGCGCCAGATGATTAAAAGAGAAGATAATGAGAATCATCAAAATTAAGTTATCCATGGTCGTAACTATGGAGATAGATATATTTGTCAAACATTCTAAAAACTTTCTGAAAAATGGCAAACGAAGCGTCTCATTTACCGGCACACGTTCTTGCGCGAGCCGCAAAAGCGAATGAATAGTGCCACAGAAATCGAAATCCTGTTATGAAAAAGAGTATGCTAGTTTTGAAAAATGGATGGTCAGTAATTCTGTGAAGACAATAAACGAAACCGTTATGTTGGGTTACTTCCAAGAGTTGGTATGTTTAAGTAATTTTATTAGTCATTAATCGGAAAGGTGATTTACAGTCAGAGTCATTTTCCCCCAATTCGCTTTGGACGAAATTTGCAATGCTACGTAAAGAGTTAATGGTAAAGAAGAAGTTTATAAGAGTTTCGAAAATTTGTGCAGCTACAAGGGTATTTAAAACAAGTTCAGAAAAGCTATCGTCCAAAAAAATCAAAAATCCTTACTCGCGAACAGATAGTCGCCTTTCTTACAGAAGCACCTGATCCGCAGTATCTGATGTACAAAGAGGAAAGAAAATGTATGGGTCTGGGCCAAGCTGGTGCGGTGTTCTCTGGACAGTCCCAGAATTGTTCTTTTTACTTCAAAGAATAATGGATAATGCGACATCAACACAGTTCTTTTTACTTAGTTGTTGGAAATAAAAAGTTCGTATAGATTCATTATTCCATATTTATAGGATTTACATAACGCCCGTTGCTACGCATAATTGGGGTTGTCATGGTGGAGTGCATTATTTGTCATTTAATATATCTTGATTTAGGATTATTATACCTGAATAATGATCAAGTATGACATAAAAAATTTAACACGTTCGAAACGATACATTTTTTTGAAACAATGATGATCTGTGTTTGCCAGGGTTTAAGTACATCTTCTGTCGAGTGTTGTAAACATGTTCAGGGTTTAAAAAAAAACGATTTCTTTCTAAACCCTAAGTAACATGTCTCCAGAATGTGGGTGTCTATTACCGTCAATATATCCTTGATTCTTTGAAAACCTTTGAGCATATAATTCTAATAGCGCGTTTTTGCAGAACAAGTATGCGCTGAACGTGAGTACTGCCATCCCAAGTACATATATTGTACCGAATATGAGAGTGAAAGTTGGCGTGGTACCAAAGAGTAACTATGGGTACTCTTTGGTGGTACAAAGTCAGTAACGTTGATTCATTTAAATCATATTTTTTTAAGCCAAACGGAATCACAGTAGTTTTGGCAGTGTTAAGTACGATATTATTGTTGCTGCACCATGTGCTTAATTTGTCTAGCGTGAGCTTTATTTGCAATTTCAAAGACATTATACAACGTGATTTAATTAATATACTTATGTCATAAGCGTATGATGTAATAATAATGTGGAATCGCCAACATCGCCCTCTTTCAGATACGAAACCAGGTCATTGCTGTAAAGAATAAATAGCATCGGACCGAGAATTGAGCCTTGAGGAACTCCTGTTAAAATGGGCTTAGACAAACCACGCTGACCCTGAGGTAATTCAACGAATTGCGTTCTATCTCGAATATAGGATTCAAACAAATTGAGAGTAGTACCTCGAATGCCGCATTGAAACATTTTGCTAATTAATTTCTTGTGGTCAACAGTATCAAAAGCAGCCGAAAAGTCAATAAATAAACCAACAGTTAAAAGACGCTTATCAATTGCAGAACCCGCTTCTGCAATATATTGACATAAGCTGTATCAGTCGATCTGCCTCTCATAAAGCCGTGTTGAGAATCATTGATGATATTAAATAATTCATAAGTTGATTATTAATTAGATATTCGAGTACTTTAGAAAACGACTTGGGTAAACACCAGAGAGGACGCATAAATTCATAATGTGACTTAGGGTGCTGTCTATTAATTAGTTGACTAATTTTAATATATTATTATTTATTTCGTCCACCCCAGAGGACGAAGATGGCTTCAGTGATTGAATAGCAGAGACTACGTCACCTTCAACCAGCGGGACCAGGAACATTGAAGTACCTACTAAGCGATGTGGAAGGGGAGATATTTCTTCCACTAAGAGAGCTAACAGAAGAGCTTCTTCGTTGACAATTGTACTAAACCACATGGTCACTACTCAACTGCTCGTCTGCCTTTAAAAAAATTCACAGATATCGCAATCCTTGCAACCATCGGGAGTATTGGAAATAATAACCGTACAACGCCATATGTAAAACTCAAATAACCTTTATTTATACAGTATCACTTGCTCCACTCGCTCGCAGGCTCGCTCCTGTCGCAAACGTGCACTTTCTAAATAATAAGCGTCGTAACATGCGTGGAATACCATCACGGGCGATGTGCGATAAATTTAGATTCGAATTAACAAAACCCTTGCGCACTGGTAAGTAAGTACCGTATCGACAGTATCCGCGGCTTTTCCTGAATCTACCGATTGCAGTAGAGTACGGGAGAATCATCACTTGATGCGACACCAATTGTCTTCTTTTCTGCTCGACTAACCAGTAACATCATACCCATACAAAACATACCTAAGCATTTCCAATGTTAAAACGTCCCAGTGTGCGGCCTCACGTTCGCCAGAGCTGCTTCCACCGCGACCGCGACCCTTAGATTTGCGCTTGTCTTAAAAGACTTGTAAGCACATTGTTCTATTATATATTATACAGTTTTCCACATATATTTTTATCGCAGAAATCGGGTTTTCTTTAACCGCTAAAAAGGAAGTATATTACCACAAATAGGCAAGGGTCAAATTAGAACCAGATGACCTGATGTTATGCTATGATGTTATGTTATATCTATATTGCATGATGTTGTCGAGATTTCACTTGTTTCCTCGCCTACTTTTTCTAATAAAGCTCTATCCACGTGCACTAATTATCGATTTACTTTTTTAATTGATTAGGTACACGTGATATACCTACGTCGAAAAGAGAATTTTGTACAGTTTCAGGATATGTAATAATTACTCTATGGTAATAATTAATAAAATTTCGTAGGTTTTATTTAAAATTTTGAATTATTTGATGCACCTAATTCTTTTGATTTTCAATTTTTTTCCTTGGCTATAACAGATAACGAAAAATGAAATGCAGAACGACTGTTCTACTATGCGATCAAAATAGAGTTGCTATCGGGTCACCTTTGGAATTTTTGTTTACACGGGAAATCACTTGAACTTCCAAAGGCGACTCGACGTCCATCTTTTTTTGATCTTCCGTTATAACATTTTGTCATATCCACTGTGACAGCTAAAATCCAACACTGTACACAAGTCTTTTTTAAGAAGTAAAAAAGAGAGACGTCAAAGATGAGTCCAATGTTAAACCCCGCATATTAAAATTAGTGGTACGAAAAAAACAAGACAGACAATTTAATAATTTTTATTTTTTTCATAGACACATGGACAGTAGAACAGATTTGTTTCAGTATGCTATATTATGTTAGTTGAATTGACATAAAGTACATTAAGCTCGACAGGAATGGACTGGTCAAAATCATATTAGGTACGTCATATCACAACAATTAGAAGCCTTGTTTGTAGGATCGCACAAGTTAAGTACAACGATATTGATTGCCATGATATAGGTAGGTGCAAGATATGTTAATATTTGTCTATTTTAGATTTTTGTAATGATGCAAACTGGTGCCTAAACTCTCTACGCTTATTTACAATAACTCTTTGCATATACCTACATTAGTTATTTACAAACAAACAGATATATTATACATTAAACTTAATACGAATTTTAAAAAATTGTGCTATCGGGTTGATAAACCTGATGCAAGCAAGAAGTTTGTAAAATATACAATATTAGTTTTAGTACGCAATATATCTTAATATTATTACGTAATATTAGGTTTTAAGATAGCTAAGTTGTTTAGAAATTGTGCTTTTGTGATGATATGAAAGGCATCGATAGAGATGATGAAAAATCAAACTAAAAAACTTGTCACAGCCATACAACACACACAGACAGACAGACATTTAGCGGTGCACGAGGCGTTGACTTAAGGCGTTAATGGAAGCGTAAACGTCGGAGTCCAAAACATATTGGAAGAGTATGTTACCGCGCAAATTGACATACAGTGTTACAGGGGGGTTAGTGAGGGGTGAGGATTAGAAATAATGGGCAGTGGCGGGTCGTGCATTCTCACAAAACTAACCATACAAATCAGTTTTTTTAAAATCACTGTACATGCAACCTGCACGATCCGCCATTGATAACTGCCCGAAGAGAACATGTATGCAGCAGAAGAACAACATTCGGAATTGCTCACATAGCCTTAACTGCATGATGGTAGAAATGGAATGAACACAAATTATTCCTTAGCATGAAGCATACTATTATCACTGAGCATAGTGCGTATGGTGTAGATTATAATATTAAGTATAAAGGTTTTCAAAAATGTTAATTATGTATAGTAATACCATCGATTAAAGAAAAACTTCAATCATTGCATATACAAAAGATTGTCCCATGTTTTAGTAAGTACTATGTGCGCAGTCATTTTAAAATCCAACAAAGTACGAGTAGGTATCGTTCGTGCAAATAACTTTGAATTACTTCGTAAACCGTATAACAATTAGGCATTCGACCAGAACATTTGTCACTGAGAGACATTTAAAAATACTGAATTACGAGAAACATTAAACACTGTCATAGAAAAGTAGTTCGTTTGGTAGAAAAGTTTTTAGATGGAAACATACAAAATTAATGAAAATGGCAAATCTACAAAGTCGGTAAACATATAAAAATATTTATTACACGGAAACATTGATATATACAAAATCTTTGATATATTTGTAGATTTGCCATGCGAAATAAAACTCGTAGAAAAAATAGAGGTTGCATATTTCATAATATGAACGCATCATGCTTGATGAAAACTGATGTTATTTCGTAGCAAATCGTAACTTTTGCTTTTTTACAAAATCTATCGCTGTACGATCTCCTACTCTTGACTCTAAGGTTTGCAAAATGGGATGACCTATAAATATGTCGGCGGTTAGTAAACTCCACCAGATTAGGGCGACTTACTTTTATTTTGCTGCTGCATCAGTACCAATTCCACCGGCTTTAGACCGTGAAAGTTGTCAACACCGGTACCGGTGTCGGCCACTCCCGGTATACTCCCAAGCGACAAAAACGCTTCGCCGGCAAAATCGTTTGCGGTGAGCACGTCGTGGTCCATCACGGTGAACGCGATCATGGCGCTCGGCGATCGGCACTGTTCCAGCGAGACGCTAAATTCGAAGCACTCGTCGAAAATCGGATGCAAAGTCCTCTTATGAACGTTTGTCTGCTGCTCGTTACAGTGCGGAAATACTCTATGCGGTAACAATTCTATTATCACAAATGGATCGCTGAAACCGTTGGGGTCTAGGGGAATTATGTCTCTTGCGTGAAGCACCTGGAACAAAATGCAACAAGGCGATAAGAATCCCGCCGCTATACAGCTAATTAGTTGTGCAATGCAGAATTGAAAATGGTTCTAAACAAGTATGAATTGTGTATAAAGCGCATTTTTTAAACCGAAACAGCTTAGTACATGGTTCGGTTATAAAGGGAGGAGGAGGGAGGAGCTCTTAACACAAACATTTAACGACCACCTGGCATACATTCAAAATCCTCCGACGCTCTATTCTGCAGATTTTGCCTTTGAGAGTACTTTCCTCCGACAAACCGTTTTCAAGACATTCGCTTTTAAAGTTTTGGCATCACCAATGGATATATTTCTTGCAGAAGTCTCAATAGCCCTTTGTGAGTACCCTCTTCCGACAATCCGACAAGCGCAGTCATTTAAGATACCCATTTCCAACCGACCAGCACCGCCACCACCGAAAGGCCAGCAGACAAAACGATGGAAAACGAATACCGACTCCGCCGACACGTCCGATATTCAAAGTGTCTTCCACCGCTACCCACATGTGCAAGATCATAAGACAAAAATCAGCTAACATCGTTGGAACCCCGCCGACAGCACGGACGAATTCCCCAGGATTCCTACTGGAGCCTTCCCGGGGGGAGGGGCGCAAAGGTCAACATTTTCTGTTTTTCGCTGATATCTTGAAAACGGTGCGTCTAGGAAAAAATTGTTTAAGAGCAAAATCAAAGCCCATAAAATTGTCTACAATATTGACTGTATACACTTTTTCGAAATTCCCAACCGTTTCCGCGATATACATTCCGGAAGGTCGGAAATTTTTGAAAAATCGGTTTTTACCTCAGGTTTTTCATCAAACATTCCTTTATATCCTGTGAACCGATGAGCTGAGAAAAAATCCACCAGGTCCAGCAATGGCTGGAGAACGACCTCTCCCCCGACCAATGGGGCTGGGAAAGGGATCACAACAACCACCTGATACCAGTCCTCACAACCGATCCAGCTGCACCGGAAGAAATACTGTATTTTCTGCAGATGCACGACAGACTGCAGTTCTGCGAGATGTGGGTGCAAAAAGGCCTCCATGCGATGCTCAACCATCTGCCACAATTGCCACGGAAATTGTTTGAATGGGATACCTCTCCAGGAAGAGGAAGAGGGCGAAGAGGACATATACGATGTCGAAATTGTGGATATTTCACCGGAAGATGCTCCACTCGAGGAAGAACAGCCCGCCCCATCCCGCCCGAAGAGACTCAAAAGGTCCACGTCCACAATGTACTAACCTTGCACGTCCACTGCTAATGACAGCGAATAATCCATTCTATTATTTAAATTTTATCATGTAATAATATTAATAATTTTTCCTGGATATGTTACCCACTTGGGTGCCCATTTATTGTCCTTATATCATAAGTAGAAGTTAAAATGGAAAATAGCAAGAGCGTAGGTGACAAATCATTGAAATTGTTGCATATAGAAGATGATGAAAAATTTCAGGAAATCTTAAAACTGCTGTAACTTTTGACTGGTTACGACAATTTGGAAAGGAGCCATATTTTCGGAAAGGAAATTTAATGTTTTACAACTTTTTCGTCGGCGGCTTTTTTCTCAGATAATCGGTTCACAGGATATAAGGAATGTTGACGAAACGCGTGGGTAAAAACAATTTTTCAAAAATTTCCGGCCTTCTGGAGCTTATATCGCGGAAACGGTTGGGAATTTCGAAAAAGTGTATACAATCAAATTGTAGACAATTTTATGAGCTTTGATTTTGCTCTTAAACAATTTTTTCCTAGACGCACCGTTTTCAAGATATCAGCGAAAAACAGAAAATGTTGACCTTTGCGCCCCTCTCCTCGGGAAGGCTCCAGTCGGAATCCTGGGGACTTTGAGTATGGTTACCTCCTAAGGGGCCCAAACAAGGTTCTGAAGTCAAACCTTCCGCTTCCAACCATACCGGGCATATTCATTCGTTGCCTGGACTACTAAGTTTTTAGTTTTCATTATTTTATCAAAAATTCGGCAATAACTCCAATTACTATGTTAAACCATGAAAATTTTCTAAAGAATTGACACAGACGGAGTGGGGCGCTCATTAAAATGCATGGAAAACAAATATCGCGTACAGTAACTATTTCCGCCGTCGTTTAATATAAATACCTACTTTTTCCTCAGTGAATAAATTTTACAAAAAAAATTATTGACAGTTGTCATAAACTGATATTCATTTCGAATTGAATAACGAATAACGAATTTTTGATAAAAAAATACAACAAATAATAATAATAATATGTATTAATTCCCAAGACAAATTTTGAATACTTCAGAAATACAAAATAAATACAATTTAAAAATGTTGGTCAACACAATACAATGGACAAAAAAGAATGGAATATAAATTATACTAGAGATCCGCAATTTTTATCAATAAAGTTTAGAAATTCATCAATAGTGTATGGTGTATTGACTAGAAGAAATTTTTTAAAGAAGATTTAAAGCACTTTATTGTTCCCTGACTTCTAAGTGTACTTAGAAAAGCATTAAATAATTTAATGCCCATTGAGGTGGGAGCATTATGGGCAAGTTTAAGTCTTGTTAAAGGGTTGTAATTATAATTATAATTATGAAAATTGCTATGACGTAGGAAATGTTGCTGATTTTGAAAAATAAGAGTTAACAATTCAAGTATTTAGAGTGATGAAAGTGTAAGAATATTCAATTTTTTTAATACCGGGCGAGACGAATCAAATTTCTGACTACTCGCAATACATCGGACTATTTGTTTTTGTACCAAAAAAACATTTTTTGACGCGCTTGACGAGCCCCAAACAATTATTCCATACGACAATCTGGATTGAATTTGAGCATAGTAATAATTTAGAGTATGGTTCACATCCATTAATTCTTTAAGATTCCGTATCTGGTAGCAATAAGTGTTTAGTCTTTTAATAAGATTTTCGCAGTGACATTTCCAATTTTTGATCTAAATAGATCCCCAGAAATATCCCAGTGCCTAGAATATTAATGTTTTTATTGCTTGAGTCAAACTCAGACAAATAGTTATTTCCAAAAGTTGTAAACGGTAGGAAAAATGTTTTATCGTGATTTAAGAATAATTTGTTAAATTACTTAGCTTATTTAGAATCTCAATAGCTTTTGCATATATATTTTCTTGCCTTTTACCGGATATTAATGCCGTCGTATCATCCGCATATAAAACCAAGCAATTTAAAAACATGACAATATCATTAATAAATAATAAAAATAAAATAGGTCCTAAAACAGATCCTTGTGGAACCCCCATAGTAACAGGCAAAGCTGTGGATAAAAATTTTGCAATAGTGGGACCGGTTTTAAATTTAATTTCTACTTGTTGACACCTTCCAGAGAGATATGATGAAAACCAATTGGCAACAACGCCTCTGATACCGTAAGTATTTAATTTTTGCAATAGTAACAAGTAATCAACAGTTACAAAAGCCCTGCTGAGGTGACAAAATATAGCAAGGACATTCTGTTTTTTATCAAGAAGTGAAATGATGTCAACAAAGGAGTTAATGGCAATAATTGTCGATTTCCCATTGCAGAACCCGTGTTGTTTATTACTTGCAATGTTATATTTAACAAGGTGACTATTTAGCCTCTCTAACATGGCGTATTCAAAGACTTTTGACAGCGCCGAGCTAACAGAAATTGGTCTGTAATTCGAGCAATCTCGAGAGCAACCTTTTTTGTGAACGGGATGCACGGTTGACAGCTTAAGTTCTTTCGGGAAGAAGACACCGTTTGAAAAAGACATATTGACTAAATGTGTGACAGGATTTATTATAATATGCAAACTTGACCTTAGCAAAGAATTAGGTATATCATCGGGGCCTGAGGAATGTTTATTTTTTATGCTTTTTTTTAAACAATTTAATAATTCCGTTTCACTAAAAGGCAGTGCTCACATACTTTCGCCAATAGTCATATTAGACTCAAAGTTGCTAGTCGAATAAATGTTTCTTTTTATAGAACGTTGAATATTTTGAGGGCCATTAATAAAATCCTCATTAAAAGTATTTGCAATTGTTTGAGGATCGTCAATGATTGTTTCTGAATTTTTAAGAGTAATATTTTTGTGCGACTTTTCATTATTGTTAAGTATAGATGTTTTATTTTTATTGTCGGAGGATTTGATTAAATTGCCATAAAACGATTTCTTACAATTCATAATGTATTGCCGGTATTTACATTTGTGTGTTAAATAAAGTTTTTTAAAGGCGGGATACATCTTATGGAGGTGGTAAAAGTTTTTAAGATCTTGGCTAAACTTTTTAACGGTGCTGTTTACCCATCCTTTTTTCACATATGAGGTATTACGTTTTAAAATTTTGGTCTCTGGGTCCTGGGAACGATGAATTGAAATCTGAATACCGAACGATCCTCGAGACCTTCACGCATCCCTCATTCTTACAACGCGCCTTAAAGGGCTTCTGACCCACCACATCAGAATAACTTGTAAAACAAATTGTTTGAAACGGAGTTAGTTTTACTTTTACTTGAGGTGCCTACATATTAAATTTCAATTAATTAACAAATAAAGAACATTGGGATTGCGCAAATACAAAAGTTGGGTGTTCAGAATATTGTTGCAAATTTAGGCAACACCGCCGACGCGGGTAGACTACCGTTTTGTTTACTTGTACTATCAAAACAATAAAATGGCAGAATATCAACTTTGTAGAAATGAGTGCACAAAAAATGTCGCTGCCTCCTGGACTATAACTTATCCAAGGCGAGGAACACAATCGACAAGTCGAGGAAGCGCCCCGGAGAAATACCGCTGCTCCCACGGAAAAATCTTACGTTCGTTCCTCCGACGGAAGTGCGCAGCTTCGTTCTTCAACAAAGACCCCGAAAAGTACCCGGAGCTGACCGCACCACCTACCAGGCGCTGTAGCACCCAACCCTCGCTTACATCACGCTGCGATAGAGGAAGAAGGCAATAGTGATAATGCTACCGAAGCCCGGAGCAGCCAAACCCTAGAACTACAGACCCATATCGGCCATATCCCTCCTGCCAGTCCTGGGGAAGATATTTGAAAGGGTACTGCTGGCGAAACTGCAACCTAACATAAGACCTGATCAGATCGGTTTTTTTATACAACTCTACAGGACGCGTCTATTTTTATTGCCAGTAGCTTCGAACCCCCGTACACCTACCAGAGATGCTGGACACCGTGTGCGGACAATTCGCGCCCGGACATTTCGCTCCCGGATAATTCGCACCCGGATAATTCTGTAAATCTTTGGTTTATTAAAATTAAATATTTTTAAGAGGCTCCTAGACCATTGCCTTTACAGAATGTATGTAGTAGTGCATCATCTTGGTAAACATCTACTTCATGGAAACATGTTTCAAATAATAGTTATTTGGTCTTTCATTTTCGACACATCGCGATTCTTTAAGTATTTCCATTTCTTAAATATAATCACGCTGGTTTTTTTAAGTTGTATGAAGAGTGATATATTTAAATCCTGTAATTTAAGAACACATCATTTTTATTTACTGCGCTTTCGTTTTGAGAAAATAAGAATAGGTAACTGAAACGTCTTTTGTGGAGTAATTAAATACCAAATAGTTATACCTAGTTATAGTATATCTACAATATTATGTGTAATATTCGCTACTTTTGAGACGCTCTTAATATTAAAACAGAATCAACATATAATACCGTACACAAACAAAGTGATAAGTCTAAAGTTAAAAACATTTACATTATAAGATCAAGATGAAAATAGAAAAAGGAAGTAATTTTAACGCTCCCTTACATAAAGAGAAGACACATAAAAAATTGTACTTTATTTCTTTAGTTGAAAAGGGTGATAAAGGAAATGAATTAAATTTATTTTAGACAAAACGAGTATGTATAAATGA